ACTTTGCCAGTAGCATGTCGCCTCCAGGACAGTTGCTGAAACTTTTTGAACCCATATTGTGACAAGTGCCCGCTGAGCAAAAACAACAGATTAATTTTCAAAATGTCACAGAATGTCTTTAATTTATTCCAGAGCAGTGAGGGCTTGACTGTCTCATTCATAATGCACAAGAGATGCCCCGGAGAGTCAGATATGTTTTCTGAGAGATGAGCTAGCCGCACACTAATGAAACGACATCTGCAATTTAGCCTGCATGTCAACTATGCTCACATCGCCCCCTCTGTAGGAAATTGAGTTTTCTTCTTCAGAAATGATTCCTCAGGAATTAGAGCTCACGTTAGTGTGGCTACTACATAGTGTTGTAAGCATTTAGGATATGTGGGGTAGACACATTTCCCATGAAAGGCTATTTACATTAGAATAAAGCATCACCACAGAATCTATTTCACAGATGGATTATGGATTATGTGTTTACTTGCAGATCTCTTCTCAAAGCATCATTTTAGCTCAGGACTAATTATAAACTGGAAAATACAATGAAACATTTGTCCTCATAGAGTTTACCATTGTTCTTTCATGTGCTGTACAAGTGCAGACCATCAGTACTCTGACAGTCAAATGTGGGTCTATAAGTCATCCAGGCTCACGTTGGGGTCACTGTCATTTGGATTCTGTGACGGTCCGGCTCTCAGTTTGAGAGAGTTTGGAATACAGCAAAGGAACAATGGCTGTGTCTGTGGTTTTCTGTGTATGATGTATGGGTGTAATGGGCACATCCCCTTCTGCTGGCCACATGCTGCTAAGTACATATTTGCTCCTTGATCTGTCCACACATTGGTACCTGCCCACACTCAAGCATCTACAATGCACAATGGACCTCATTCAAGAACCATTCATACAAACAGATTTGCACTTACGTTGTGTGTACAGGTGATTCTGGACAACTTGTGAAGAGACTGAATGTAATATTTTAACATGTATAGTAATGAAAAGGATGAAAGTGTTGCAATGTCTATTCCAGTGTTAAGAGAAAACATGCCAATACAGAATCACTGGTAATTGCATGTGATTTTTTCATCCATATCAGTGACAGTGAGTTTCTACCTTGACCGCCTCCTGTTGCAGTAATTGATTGCCTCGCAGCGGGGAGCCTTTTTTATTTTCCAATCCATTTTCATATTAGTCAGTGACAGTACGACTGGTGACACTGCATTAACAGCACTGCTTTTGTTCGTCTCTTATTCCATTTCTGGACCACTCTACATCTCTGAAATCTGGACCTTTAACTCTGATCTTGTTAAGTACTTCCCTCTACTCCTTGATGTCATTTTCATGGATGAATACTTCTGACATTGGGCAGGAAGCACAGCCTTATATGGAATTATTGGGGTGTTAAATATGCTATTTTATTATCCTTGTGCACATCTGCTAAAATACACACAGATGGTGTTCATCATGCTCCATGTTCTTGCATGAGGCCCAATGTTTATTTCCAAAGAACATTCCCATAAAAATCTTTGATCAGAGGATGGGGCTTTCTGGAGATCACTGCATCATCAGGATGGGAACATTAACCAAGTTGTGCCCCTTAACTCCCCTTCTCTAAACCCCCAACGGTGAGATTAATGCCAGGTGGGGGAAATATAACATAGTTTAATTAAGCCCGAGTCCACAAGATTCATGGAGTAATTTCTTTGTCTGACAGTGCAAATGAAGGTTCAAAGGGTGCAAGGCAAGAGGAGAGACACCCATGACTAGCTGTTCAGAGTGTAATGAATGTAGAGGTGCACGTTGGGTAACGATTTCAACCTTAAAGACTTAAATTAATTCTGTGTAACAGCACTGCAGCGGCACCACTCTACATGTGTAATAGGCAGATGTCACTGCGAGTGGTCTAATGGTTCATTCATGTAAAAATTCATCCAGGAGTCACTAATGGGGAGCTGTGAAAGTTGGAAAAAAAATAAACTCAAGTCCTTCGTCATGCACTTGTGGCAATCAATAGTCACAACTCATGAATCTGTCTTTCATGAGCCTGCAAGACAGGATGTGGCTTAACGAACCACGCTGGGACTGGCAGTGGTTCCAAATGCAGAAACAGGATCACAATGTTTTGTCCGCTGTGGTATCAGTGTTGTTTTACACCATATCAGTAACATGACGTGTTACATGATAACAAGTTTTCCCTGATAAAACAGAAAACTCTCTGTAAATAAAACACGCTACTGCGTTTGAGAGAGCGCGTGATTAGATAACTGGTGACAGCTGTGCTAATCAACTGGCCTAGCGCTGGTCTCCTGAGTCGCCTCCACACCTCTCTCCTTAGGCTGGATGCCACCATACCCACCCTCACACCATACATATATATAAATATTTGACATGTAGTTTGATTTTCAAAAGAAATTTTGGTCCATGTCCCATCTGCTAACATGGAGGAGGCAGGGTTTATGACCTCTACTGCAGCCAGTCACCAGGTGGCGATCAAGATGCTTTGGCTTCACTTCTGAGGGAACAGTTCTTTCTTATAGTCTATGATTAGAACATATGCACAGATTTTCATACACTGCCCTCCACTTGTCAGATGCAGAGACTATCCATTGAGAACCTGCAACGCATTTGCTTTGCAACTTCTATGCTCTGTATCATGTCTGAGAGAGTTTTGTTTTAAATGCATCTTACTGCTGCACACTAAGCCTTGGGGTAATCGAAACCTTCCCATACTGTGGGGCTATGTCAGCCTCCAAACCAACAGGGCCATGCTGTGCACTAGATCACTGTATTGAATTTCTATATAATTAAAGTCACTGGGGACAAGGTAAGAGAGAACTTTTAAGTGGAAGATGCACAGGAACTATAGGAAATAAATAGCTACTCCCATCAGTTGAACAAGCTCTAATGCGTTTCACTCAATTTAGCCAATGGACTTAGCCCATTGCTATTTAGGTGATTGCTATTTCCTATTCCGCTATCTGTCACTGACTCTCCATTGCATTTGCCTTGAAGAACAGGCATGGCAGAGTAATTCGGCAGCACTAATCAATACTATTCACTCTGTGCGAAGGGCTTATCAATTTCCAGCCAGTGCTTTGAATAAGATTCGAAGAATTTGGCTTATTCATTAGGTACATTTTTTTCTTTTTTTTCTTTCTTTTCTACCTCTGAAAAGTATTTTAAGACAGTGCGATTTCGTTCACACAGAAATCAATTTCCCTTTCTCCCCTTCACTTTCAAAATGCAGGTAAAAACATTGTCAGCGCAATTACAACTGAAAATCACTGTGTTTTTATGTTTGTCTCGGTTCGGCAGTGGCAACTTGTCTTATTGAATGCTAATAAGGGGTTTGTGGACTCGCAGGGCCCAGGAAGAGGGAGACCTATCTGTGAATAATGGATAAGTTAATGTCATCCAGGAAACTCTTGCCCCTGAAAAACACACAGTCATCTTTAATATCCTAACCTCCTTGGTAAACTTGAGCCCATTTTCCACTGGTCAAAAAACACTATCATCCAGCTTTTGTCTGCGATGGGAATGGATACAATCGTCATTTACTTCAGGGTCATGTGATTTTGCAGTCGAGATTCAGGCTCTGATCGGCAGTGATGGAAAAAGGACACGAAACAGAAAGGCAAACTCCTCTACTGTCAATGGGAAAGGAGTCAATTGCCTTGGGTTTTACCCACGTATTGGTATTGGTAACTTAGTAACTTAGCTATTACATCACACAACATACTGATACAAGCAGAAGCTTAAGTTCTATTTAGGAACATGATCTCTTTCTGCTGCAGGGAAATTAGATCCTACACTTTTATTGTAGTCCGATTGTTACTTTCGATTAACTGAAAATAGCTTGAAACAAAAGACACAGGTTGCTAAGTACCTTAAGACAAAGCATTATCCCTTGTCACTGTTAATCCCTACACCCACCATCTGTGTGTATGTGTGTGTTAGTGAGAGAGATTGGTATGGGTTGGATAACACCTAAGCATTAAGCCATATTTTCTGGATCTTCATAGACCCAAAGGGAAACGACTCTGCCAATTTAAAACTCCAATTTGCACCTCTCCTCTCCGTCAGATTTATTTTACATTACAGCCCATTGGCTCCCCCACCCAGCCCGAGGAAACCAAGTCAATAATCCACTTCTATCCCATCACATAATTTCAGTCGAGGGAAAGACATACAGACAGGAAGGAAAGTTTAGATAGCGCGGATATGGATAGACGACTGTTTTTTAACTGAACAATTGATTTAGCTGCTCACTTATCCAATAATGGGTTTGAATTTGTTTTTATTGGGATTTTTTTTATGTCCTTGTTAACAGAATTATTTTATCGCAACAAATCTATATGTTACAATAACGTCAGAATTTGGTTTAACTTTGGTGACAAAAACGTATTTATATGTTGATTGAAAACTCAAAATGTTATAATAAAATTGTATAGTTTATCTCCTGCACCACATGCTGGAATAGCTCTGTAGTAGTGAATATAAATAGTAAATCATTGAGCTAACACAGAAATCTGATGAATGTGTTCATTATTTTTCTTCTATTTTCACTTTCCTCTTAATGTTGCCGTGTCTTAATTTACTAAAAAAATTGTCAAAGTATTTTAACCCTGTATGTGGTTTTAGTATAATCACGTTGCACACTCAAATTCTTTCTAATTCTTTTCTAATTTTGTTAGTATTTATTTCTGAAAAAAATAAATCTCTGTTTGACTCATCAATTAATTTAGTGATCATTGCAGCTTTAATATGCAGGAGGTGGACAATTTAACTAATACACTACTCCGTGCTCTGTGGTTCATCAAATATTTATAGTCATGTTTTCAAAATGCTGAAATATTTTGTTCCTTAATGGCCAACATGGTGTAGATACTGATGTGGGTATCTGTCAGAAACTCATATTGGCTTATACTATGGAGGATGTTCAAGATGGAATCCATATCTTTATTGAATCTGAAAATTAACTCTCTGGTATTGTGGTTGTGCTTTTACAGAAGAGCTACGGAAACTCAGCTGGTCTGGAATCCCAAGACAGGTCCGACCGATTACGTGGAAGCTCCTCTCAGTAAGTTTGACATGCACACATGCACACATTTACAACACACATGCAATTGCAGGTAATATACACTGTGCATTCAGACTCCAACACAGTGAGACAATCACTAATCTGTGTAAAATGTAGACACACTTTGCTACAAAAGCACTCCGAGACAAAAACCAGTTCAACCTCATCCCGCAGGGGAAAACACAGATTAATCAAGTACACACACTTGCACACACAAATAAAATCACACAAATAATTAACACATTACAGCTGATCTTAGGCACACACACCCACACATACACGTATAAACACATGCAAAGTTGCTGTCATGTTGTATTGGCGTACCCCCTCCCTTTTTTGATTTATGGAGACTGGTAACAGTCCTGCTTTTTTTCCCCAAACTTCAATAGGGAAAATTAATTGCGAGGCACAAGTAATTTATTCATGAGAGGCGCGGTGTGTTTACTCATTAAGCTATTGTTGTGGTATACAGCTTCTAGTCTGCAGAGAGAAGACTGGCTTTTTGAGCACCATGACTCTTCCATTAATTACCGCACAATAGCTAATGTGCCGCAGAAAAGATGTCATTAAAGGTGTGTGTGCGCGTGTTGGTGCTTTTTTTTTTCTTTTGGTGGGAGGGTTACCTACTGGGTGCTCTAACCATTAACGGCTGCTTTGTTTAGTGCTCGACTGAAGCAAAGGCTCACAGGGCTGTATGAAGTACTGGCAGTAGTGTGGGCAGCCGGGCTCAGGGGAGGGTAGAGGCACCTTGGTAATTTAACTGTTTTTGTGTATTTGTGTGTTAGTGTACGTGTTTGTCTGGGTGTTTCATCCTTATGGAAGAATGTGTAAGAATCTATAGAATGTGTTGCATATGTGTGTGGGCATGTATACTCCTTCATTCACATGTTTATTTGTGTTATATACATATGTAAAGAAAATGCTGCAGTGAACTTTGGGGAAGCAAAGCACAGATGGCCTGTGGCCTGTATATATTACAGCTGGACCACCTCTGCTTCCCTGCAGAGAAATTAAACTGGAGGCTGCAGAGAAAGGGATTGTGTGGAGAGGAAAGAAGCAAAGACAAAAACAAACTAGTTTGAAAGTATTAAGGTACAAAACCACAGTTGGAAGTAAAAATGATGGCAAGAGAGAAATATCCTCCATAAGTTCTTCCTCCATTGTTAATCAAATCTTAGCCTCAAGGGAAAAGTCTGACATTTTGGGAAAGACAACTCGACAATTAGACCTTCAGTGGTGCTGATGGTCAGGTTTGTGGAACTTTTGGGAGATCCAGACTAACTATGTCCTCCTGATTCCCTGTCTTTATGCTAAACTAAGCCAACTGCCCCGTGGCTCTGGCTCTAAGACACAAGAGTGGAATCGTTCTTTTCATCTAACTCTTACTAAGAAAGTGAATTGGCCAAAATGTCAAACAGTTTCTTCAAAGTTAGAATTACCCAAAGTCTTACCGGTAAATGATTCACCCTGTGTAGCAATGAAAGCTTTGCATAGTGGTTGCAGTATGCTACTTGGTGCTATATACAACTTTATAGATGATGGCGTGAGTTAGAGATCCCTTATGTTATTATTAGGAGTGTAAACATTTATTTTGGTCCATTATGAAACAAATTAGAATATGGTGGTCCGCCACAGTCTAGATTATTAATAGGACATGCTAGTGGTCTATTAACACCCTTAGGAGTGGTTCACAGAAGCCTCATTCACTTGTCAGTTTTATCACAGTGTCTGCAGGTCTTAAAGTCCTTTAAAGTTCTCTACTTACCTTCGTCAGAGAAGGCCTTTAGTTGATATACACATATTTAAATTGAACTTTATTTTTAATGATGGTTACAAATCTTAAAGTGTGATGGTTTTTGCCAACATTGTCAGTACAGCTTAGCTACAGTACCGTGGGCACTCATTGTCATTCAAAGGGCAAGTGCCAATAAAAAAAATAAAAAAAATCATCATTTTAAAGTAATTAACACTTTTTAATTAGTTATTCCATCTATCCATTTTGTGCCAATTATGCAAATTCAGGTCATCATTATTTAATTGTGTCATGACAAATCATTGTAACATATATGTCTGGGGAATTCTGAAATAATTGGGACATTATCCATCAGACTTTCATACTTGTGTATAACTGTGAAATGGGTATTAAATGGAATTCTGTGTGGTACCAAATGTAAGAAGTAAACCCCTGCAGAAACCCAGTGTTTGCACAGTTTGTTCTACACAGTTGTCTCTTGCCAAAAAATACTGCTACATACACAGACTCGGTATCACCTTCTTTAAAGTCTGAAGCCCAGAAGCTCCTGAAGAACAAATGTATGTCCTCAGTTTAGGAAACAGTCTCAATATTTGTTCTTCAACTTTCTTACTGTTCTGCTGAAAACCCAGCTGCTGCTTTGCTCTTTAGATTTGTAATTGCAAGCCTTCAATGCAATATAAAAAAACTCTAACTCATCTTCATTGACTGAATTTAGATTAAAATATCGTTCTGAGTTGTTTTGACAGTGCAAACCTCCATAGACCCATGGACGAAGTAATCTTCACACCTTGTGAGCATTTCGATAGCTTTCTAGATCTCGTGTCTTGTGCAGTATGAATTATCTCAGGGTTAAATCCAAGGTTCAGATTAAAGTGAAAAGTGGGCACGGTGTCAAAAGCTCTCATATCTCGTGAAGTAAGAACACTTGACTGCCTTTTCTGTCCTGTGTGTGGTATGACCCAGTGGAGAAATAGATAGGAGGGGATCAGGCTCAAAAAAAATCTATTCTCCCTCTTGCGCACACGTACACACACATTGAGACTCACATTCTGTATTCCATAACCTTGTCCGAGGCACCTAATAAAACTTCACTCCAGTGGCGTCCCTTGTGCCCTTCTCCTGCTCACCAGTGTGCACCAACTTATTTGATTTTTTTTCCCAGCAGGCACGCTTGAGCCCCACTCGTTTCTTTTACCTGACAAAGACGAGAAACAAGTTTTCCCACTGTGGTCAGCACACAGCGGCGTTCTCCCAGGGGCCTTTGTTTACTACCACATCACAGAAAGCATCCACTCTCATTAGGGAGAGTGGAAATTAAAAAGCAGGCAACTTTAAGCCTGACTTTATTGCTCCCTCTGCCTCGGTCCATGTTTTTGAGCAGCAGGCTCCGCAGGTAGCCCCCAGCCCCCAGAAACACATCCGGTTGAAGCTCCCGTTATTTCAGAAATAATACCTTCTTGTTTAATTTGTTTAAAGAGCACTTTGTGTCCGAGCCTTGAGCAGAAAAGGAGGAAATTAAATGGATTTTCTGCTTTGTGAAAGAATGTCAGCCTGTGGCAATATGTACATTTGCTAATGGAGTGTGGCTGTTAAATGTGAAGTAGTGGGAGAGGAGAAAACTAACTGGCTGTGGAAATATTGATAAGGCTAAAGGGTTATATGAGATATATCAAGAGGCAGCGGCAGCAGGGACAGATTTAGTGATTATTATGTTAAACTCTTACCTTACAACAGCACGCATAATTATATCGCCTGGGAGAAAAGAACAATGTGATTTCATTCATTTGAGGCGAAGTTGTACTCAAGCTCCAGACTGTTAGAGGCATCTCCCAACTCGCTGGAACATTTTCTTCCATTTCAGTTTGTTCACTAATACCATGGTTCATGAGTAGTGCAGCTCCACTGCCACCTCTCAATATAAACAACTCAGACCTTTAAGAAAATAGCTTTTCTGTTGACAAATATAGGTGCAGAAATTGAAACATGTTGCCCGTGTGTGTATATCTTTCATTAATTTGCATTTGACCTATCAAGCATATTCTATTATAAATGGTAATAAACCTGTGATAACACCAGTGTTGCCAATTACACTGGACAATTTACAAGAAAAGTGTGTTGGCTCAGATCTGTAGAGCACTTACTCTGATCTTTAACATTTGACTTCACAGCGTTTCCCATAAAGTACCCTGATTTTGTTTGTCCGGCAATGAAATACTGATTTTGAACTGCACCCCCATTCTTGTTTCATGTGTGACATTTTCCTCATATGAAAATAATTCTTACGTGCACGTTTCCAAACACACCAAAACTGAGCTTGCCCGATTTCTATACAAATGGTTCATGTAAAGACTCTTAGACACATTTTCAAAGTAAGTACAATTTTGTTTCTTCAACTTTCACTGGGCCTGTAGCGGGACAGTTTGTTTTTAGTCTGCTCTTCCAAGATCATGTGCTCCTGCTAAGTAGAAATCAATTAAGACTGTGAGGGAGAAAAAAACTATTTTATTTAAATTCCCCAAATGGATTCCCTAAGCATATTTCCCCAGTTTTTTACAGAAAGTGTACTGATGCGGAGGATTGAGCAGTAGATTGTTGTGAGGGAGAATGAGGAGATGAACTTTCTGTAGGCTGACAAACAGAAGCTGCAGTGAAGCTCAAAGCTTTTAGCCTTTCATCTCATTAGCTATTTTTTTTTATCTCCACCCTTTTTAACCAGTCGACCACAAAGTAGAGGAAAATGAGTCACTCAGGTTCCAGGATGAATTCACTGGGACCATGGTTATTTTTACTGCTGTGCTTTTTAAAAGTCAGGCAAGCTGTGAATAAAACTCAAATACATTACCTCGTCCGTGAACATGATTTGCACCTGAGTCGCGTGATGTAGATCTTAATCGACAATGGTGGTGAAGACAACACAGCACATGGAGCAGTTTCATCATGTGATGATGCATGGACCTTCTGGCAGAGAGTGAGCGAGATTGTGGAAAACGTCCCAGTTGGTGCATCGTCCTGATTCCGGCCAGCACAAATGTGACCATTTTGGCTGACTGGCAGAAGTCAGGGATGAGGGCAGGAAGTGTAGATGAGTCAGGAGTCTGCCTCCTTCAGAGAGTTGTGGTTGAGGAAGGATTTACATTTTTGCTCTAAGGGTTAGTGAGTGAAACCAGCAGATAAAGAGAAAAGGAAAGAATTTGAATGATCCTTACAGAGAACGAGAAATGTGCTGTGTGTTCAAGTTTAGATTATGGGGTTGGTACTGCCAGGTGTATATGTATGCAAGCAAAGTGTGTAACCAATAATCCTCTAGACTCTCTAGAGTTCTCCTGGGGCCTTTTCCAAGAAAAGAAAAATCAAGATGAGAGAAACTTTTTGCTGCTGCTTCTATTGATTTTCGTTTTGACAGTGGCCCAAGAATTGTTAGTTTGTGCGTGTCTGTATGCTTTTGTTATAAAAATAAAGTGGTAACCTGCTTCCAAACACAACAGACAGTTAAGTCGTCACAAAGACAGAAACGCACACAGGTAACAAACCTTGATCACCCTTTAAGGCTTGTCATGTTTTCATGTGTTTTCGCTTTATGTGGAATAGTGTCTCTGTTGGTGCAGGTAGAGGAGTTTAGTGTGTTGATGATTTTACTAAAGCCAATCCAAAACAGAGCTGTGTCTGAACTGCAGCCCAATGTGCTGTCAAAAAATGTTCAGTTTAAATTGTAAGTGAACAGAGTGTTTTCTACTGTGTTTAAAAAACTATGTGCAGCCTGGAGCAAAGGATTTTTAAAGGGCAAATATACTCATCTGCTCATTGGACAGTCCAATAGCTTTGGAAACCCTCTCCCCGTACATCTTCCTGACATCCGATTTGTGGGTGTTTGTTACGACTCAATCTGTAACTTTCTTAAATTAGCAATCTGACATAGATTTAAACAGTTTTTCATTTGTTATTTGTCATCATTTCAATGTGTAACCCAGTGCAACATCACGAAGGCCGTCCAGGAGAGATTGTCTGGAAAAGTGCAGTGTTATCCCCATTTCTAAACAACATTGGGTCTCCTTCTTTTCTGTCATGGCTGATTTTGACTGTGGCTGGATCAGGTATAAACACTAGCACGGTCAGACAAGACGTTGAATGAACCACTTATAACCCGACCCCATGTTGACATATGTAACAAAATTAGCTCAAAGGTCCTTTACTTTTGAGCTTTGAGGAGGTTTCAGCTGCATCTATTTATAATCTGTAATGGATGGTTGTATCAGGTTGCCTCCCAAGTGTGTCACTTTATTTACACCCTATTACGTTATATAAAACAAATATGAACCAAAAAATATCCCAAAGCAAGGGCCACTTACTAGTTTTTAGTTTGAATGTATCAGGCTCTGCTGTCATCTTGTGGCTCCCTTTGGACCTAAGTTTGTTTTTTTTGCTTAAATAAATAAGTGAGTTTGGAAAAGAAAAAAATCCAGTTAGTATTTTTTTGTGAATCTTTTAACGGTCCTCAATAGATGGAGATTGCTGAGTTGCCATAGCAATGGTTCTGTTATCCAACAGGTGGTTGTACATCAAGTAGATAATAAGTTCCACAGAGAAATTAGTCAAGAATGGTGTATCAAAAAGTGACATGTCTAAAAGATTTACATAAATAGGAATAAAGTCTGGTTGCCATTGCTTAGTATTGACTCTCTGGGCTCTTATTATCTCCAAACTAACCTTGGCCATATTTTTATAAATGTATCAAATGAATTGTAACTTGATTTATATAAATTGGCTTAAATGACCCAAATGTTGAGGAACGGTTCATGCATGAACTCAGTGAAGCTCTCCAGCAACAAAACACAGACTCGTGCTCACAAGGCATTGCAAAACATGTCACAGCTACATGAAGGACATTTTTTTAGGAAGAGCTTGACAATCCAGCTTTATATCACCGGGACAGGTTTTCAGGGCCAGAAGTCATGTTTGAGTTGTGTTTTTGAAGATGTTAACTTTGTGAATATTTTCAGAGCCCCTGGTCCCAGCTCGCGCTTTTAATAGAAGTAAGATTTGTTGTTCAGTTTGGAGAGGACTTTCTCCTTGTTGCATAAGCCTGACTGCACAAGGAGGATACACACTTTCACAAATGTATACTTGCAAACTGTCTGACACACACACACAGAACACACACACACAGAACACACACACACAGAACACACACACACAGAACACACACACACAGAACTCAGCGACACACACATACAAGGAGAGAGAGAAGGGTACCTCCCCAAAGAAGCAGCAGAAAGTTTTCTTTGCAAAGTGAGGTGTGTCACTTACAGACTTTGTAATCCCCGGTGGTGGCGTTTGGTTTCTGATTGGCTAAAAGACTCAAAACAAGTTGAGGTTTTAGAACAAGCATTGAAATAAAGGCTCATTAAATCTTATACAGTGACAGATAAATAAGCTTGAGACATGAAACACTGTGCGGTCTCTGAGAAGATGGTCTGAGTATTTATGGATCTCAATTAACGAGTCCCATGTGGAGCCCACTCCAATATCAGTGGTTCTTAAAGCAGACAGGTTTATTAGTTTGGAGACTATCACCAGTGACTTTGTGGTGCTTTTATTTCAGCTTACACTGCTGCCTATACAATGCCACAAGGCATAACAAAAGTGTATTGTACATTTTAGACATTTACAAATATGTGTGTTTAGTTATAATTTAAGATTTCAGAGTGGAGTCAGGGGGGGGCTGAGTGAATCAATGTCCTGCACTGCTTTGCTATGGAATACGATTTTACCCATTCAAAAAAACCCAGAAATCATTATGTGGCCACATGCTTCCAAGACCACCTCCCAATTCACCTGCACTTAGTGCTGAGCACCTGCTATCGGCTCAGTCAGGACAGATGTTAAACCCAGGTCTGAACGGGGTCAGCAGATGTTTAACTGGCAGACCGAGCAAGGCTTGTCGTTTCCCTTTGTTTCCAGTCTTTAAGCTGAGCCAAGTTAACCTGCTGCTGGCTGTCACTTCATATTTAGCGTAGAGATCATCAGAGTGGTATCAATCCTCTCATCCATTTCTCAACTATATGCAAATACTATCAAAGCTTTATTTTTCATTTTTACTTTCAAACTGAGCTTTTACTGCTCAAATATTTCCTATTGCTTGAAGGTTCCAAAGTCAGGAATCAGTTCACTAAAAAGGAATCCTCTCACTATACTTTTTCTGTCTTCTCTTTGACTTTCCTTCTCCCGCAATCTTTTTCTTCCTCTCTTCATTCTTTATTTCTCTGTCTCTTTCACAGGGTTACCTGCCTGCCAACGCAGAGAGGAGAGAGAGTGTCCTGCAGAGGAAGAGACAAGAATACTTCGGCTTCATCCAGCAATATTATGACTCCCGCAACGATGAACACCATCAAGACACATACAGACAGGTACATATGCATACAAGCAATAATAATAATTTCTTCAACTTTTAACTTTTCATTTTAATAAACAACTGAATCTCTGAATCCAAGAGCTTGAAGGACAGAATAATCGATGGATGGCAAAGGATTCAATTTCCATTACAACTTCTTGTCCCTGTTGTAATTCCTCAGCACGGACCCAGGACACAAAGCTGTTTATGTTTGTATGTGTTGTGACAGGATCAAACCCTGCAGAAAAGATTACAAGAACTAAAATGAGACATTGTGTTTTTTTCATGTCCTTTTCTTCCTCTCCCTCATATACTCTTAGGACTTTTGTCTGTCTGTGTCTGTCTGTGTGTCTCTCAATGGAAGTGTGTTCGAGCTCTTTTCACAGAGTCACCGCAACCCGCCCTGAGCTTCAGAGAGCTGCTTAAATGAGCACTTATATTTGGCTTTGAAAACAGTATCTGCGTTAACACTCTCTCTTTCTCTTCCCCTCTCTCCCTCTCCCCCCCACTCCCCCACATACTATTTCTCTTTTTTAACACTGGACAACTTCCTATTCATTTCAGGCAGATAAGACACATCAAAGTGAGCTGTCGATGGCAAAAACACACATTCCTCATACTCCGTCCAATTTCCCATTGATCTCCTCTACACTGTGGCAGAAAGCTGGCACACTTTGTTTTAAAGATTGTTTGTATCACGTCTGGATGATTTAAATTTTTTGGGCTAAATCCATCGCTGTTTTTGTTGACAGAGATTTCTGTTTGTGTGTTTATTTTTGAATCCCACATGGTGGCAGATTTGTTTAAACTCTGTCTATACTTTTAAGTGGCTGCAGATGCATTTGCATACATATGTGTGTCTCATTCTCAGTCTTTGTAAACGTCTGTGTCGATATGGGATGGTCCATCATCCACTCTGAGTCTCCATCTGTATCCACAGTTGATGCATTTTCTCTTTTCTGTCCATCTGTCTCTTTCATATATTTATGTTGTTGGTGACTTGCTGAAACAGCTTGTGTGTATGAGTGTGCACGTATGCATACGGATGTCGCCATTATGGAATTTCCAGCTTGTACTGTAGTGTTTTTGAAGTACAACTACAGTTTCATTGTATCCCAAGAGATAGTCTTTTTTGAACCATCAGAAGACAAAGATTGGTCTGGTGTGTTTTAAACAACAAATGTATCTCCATTAAATAACACATTTGACTATCACTATACAGTGTTGAGGGCTTATCCAGCTCTTGTGGCTTTAGTCTTTGAATCAGACACCCAGAAGTTACAGAGAAACATAGAATTCTCGGCCCTGTCATATTCCCTAGAGTATAACAAAAGCAAGAGTAAAACACGGACAAAGGGACATAGCACATGGAAAGCACAAATGATTAGTAAAACAATATAAAGAGGCAGAGTTACAAAATGTAAGCACATAAATGTTAAAACAAAACACACATACACGCAACAATTAGTGAAATGAGGAATAAAACGATTACATAGCCTAACCACTACTCTAATTGGCTTATGAAGTCTATCTGCAGCCTGCATTATAATGCCAGTTTAAGTTTGACCAGAAGTCATAACATAAAATAGTCCCCTGAATTACATGTGGTATAGCTTACTGCATGTGTATGTACTGTAGGCCACAATAATGCAAATATGGCATGGGGAACGACCTAATTTCCCTTTAAAAAAAATATATGCTCCTTCCCTTATTTAAAACACCCGAAAGGGAGCTAATCATTGGCCAAAACTGGTAAACATGCAGATTAGCATCGGGAGGAGAACCAAGGCACTTTACTGTTTACTCTTGTTTATGGTGGATCATACATACACCCATAATTAAAATAATACACACAAGCACAGAGGAGAGTATGTATAGAAGCAGCTTGTCTTCACTTCCTTGTGCGTATTTGAGGTAAGAACTGCCTCAAATGACAGAAACCGTGTTTGAAAGGAAATGATTTGACTTGTATCTTGCATTTTTATTTTGGCTATCCACTAACATGGAGGAGGGGGGCTTATAACGTACACTGCAGCCAGCAACCAGATGATGGAGGCACTTTAGCTTCACTTTTTAGGAGACATCATGTTGTCCTTCTCCATATACAGTCTAGGGCATGAAGGGACTTCTACACTGGTGCCCATGATTGTACGTGTGTGTGAGTTAGTGTGTGAGTGTGTGTCTAACACCTATCTCTCCCATGTTAGATCCAAATAGACATTCCTAGGATGAGTCCTGAGTCTTTGGTGCTGCAGCCGAAGGTGACAGAGGTAAGGTGGACAGAGCGGACAGGTTCTGTGGACACAACTCGACCTACAGTCCTGTTAAGCCCCACACACCCTCACGAACAGTCTGCCCCTTCCAGTCTGGACTATTTCAGCTGGCTTGGCTCCAGTCGCTGTCCTGCATCCGTCTGGCTCCCTTCTGACGAATCTGTCCGCCTGTTGTCCTGTTCTTCCGCAGGGTAGACGCTCTGAAATGGTGCAAACGTGGTCTCTCCCTATCTTACGCACACAAAACCACACACTTTCAAACACCTCCTATCACACAGACTGCTTGACATTCATAGACACACATGTGCACACTGGAGACCACGGCTGCTACCCATTTCAGATTCACCGAAACCCCTGTTTGCCTTCAATCAAGGACACCAATCCACTAACTGTTGCTCTCTCTCTGTCTCTGTCACTGCCTGTAATGGCCAGATCTGTGCTTAACCTGCCCGTTGCTTTTTCTCCCTCTTTCTCTCTCTGCAGATTCACATTGACATACCGAGAACTAATCCTCTTATTCCTCTTTTCCAACAAGCTTCTGTCCAAGAGGTGAGACCACCCCCAATCCCCAAATCCCTCCACTGCACACACACCACCTCACCTGGCAGGGTTTTCCCTCCTCTGCTTTCAGGCAGATGTATACTGGCATCAACCACTGGCTTGAATCAAAGTAATTGACAATTAAAAAAAATCACTCAGACACAGAGAGTAAATTACAGTATGTGGTGTGGTGGCATGTCACATTAGTATAATCATAAAACTGAAGGAAAATTGAAGATGTCCAAATATGTTTTTCGTAGTTCCTGTCTGCCTCTAGAGTTTGAAATGGGAAAACCTTTGCTTCAGCACACTGCATGGTCTGGCATGAGTACACTCACACACAGGAACATAAACTAAGGCTACATCCATTCTACTAAAACAATTTTTAAAACTAAAATGATCTCTGTCCACTCAAGTGTTTTGGATTTGTATCAGTTTTAATCCCTGTCCATACTGATACACCTGAAAACACATATCAAGCGACCACTCACATACTCTGGGCATGCATGTACTAGTGTACGTAGGAAGCTAGGCTACAAATGAGATTGCTCGAGCAATGACTTGTGTCGTATGCATATAAGCAGTTGTGTCATTGTAAAATGCAGAAAATAGCACAAACAGCACAGCTGTCAGCAAAGACGACAGAGTCAGCAATGTTGCATTCTACAGTAGTAGCCGATGGCTAATGCTGGTTGTTTTCTTACGGAAGTGTGATAGGAGCCCGAAGAAGTTTTCAAGTTTCCTATGTTTTCAAACTTAAACAGGGTCAGCGGTTTTCAAAGGTCAGTTTTCAAAGGAGAATGTAGTAGTGTGGACGTAGCCTTAGAACACATACAGAGGAACCCAATCATACCTGGAGTCTAAACACGATCAGATCCACATAAACCTTCACTCTGCTTAGCACTCTCATCTCTTTGTTCTACGTTGTTTGTTCTACACAACAAAGAATGTCTTGTTACCGTTGGGTGCTGTGTTGCGGGGGATACAAGAACTAATTATCTGAAAGACCTTTTAAGCATTATGTTTGATGAAAAAGCAACTATCAGTGGTATTTAGGGCGCATTAAGAAAACACACAGGAAGGGAAATATTTCTAGAATCTGTATATATTCACTAAGTTTAAGTTGCTAAGGAGAACAGAGTTGCTTAAGTACTTAAAATGTAAATATGGGGTTTTGTGTTGCAGCTTCAATAAGAATACTTTTGTGTAGGAAGTTGGCTCATCAGGCCTGAGGGACTATCAGAGCGCCTCTCCCAACACAGCTTAACAAGGAAATTAACTCGACGCCATTCATATCTATGGGGTTAAGCCGATCTTATTATTGCAGTGCTTCTGGGAGGTCCTGTCATACATAGAACCACTGGCCTGAGAAGCAGAGAACTGAAAACACAGATAGGAAAATCCCATAATGAGGTGCAGGCTAATGAGGTGGCCAGTGCTCTGGAATGCTCTGTGTACACACCTACACATAGGTGTGGGAGAGAACACACACTAATACATACACACCCGATATATATATATGCATTATAAAAGGAGGAGGCTTGCTATGATCTGTGCACTAAGGCACACATGAACACACACATTAATTCATACCCTCAAACTAAGTCTCACATTGTGCCCCAGGCAACACCACCAGTCTCTAACACAGGATGCAACTCTGGGTTGTAACCAGGGAGGTTAGGAGGGGGAGAAAATAAGATCAGACAATGACGAGGCAGACTCTTATATCTCATGTTCAGTATATGCGACTACAATGTAGTGTACAGTGTTTCACCTGTCACCTCATTTTCCCCTCTCCCAGAGCCAACATCTCTCTCCCTTTCTGTCTCCACACACCAGCTCTCCCTCCCTCTTTGTTTTCCAAATGAAAGCCACCGGTGAGCTTTGAAATATTCAAGCTGTGTGCTACTCATATATTTTGGTATGCAGCAGACTCCAAAGACCCCCTTTTTTATATGGTTTTGCTGCGGCGCCACCTGAAAATCACCTCTGCTTCATTTCATTAACTTGTTTGTCTCTGCCAACCTCCCCTCTCCCTCTGCCCCCTCCCTCCTGTGGGGCTCGCTAAGATTTTGTGGCGATGGAAGGCGACGAAACAGTCAGTTCCATTTTCGGGGAGAGAGGGATATTGAAGCAATTCTGCAATGATTTCCTAAGTGCTATCTAAGTGTTTTGAGTTTTTCTTGTTGTGGAGAACAATACTGTCTTGACAAGAAATTGATAATCAGCAATTACAATGTTCTCGACGTGGAAAGAAAGCGCTCACTTCTGCTTCCAAATTGTGATAATAGTAAGAAAAGGAGGAGGAAGAAGAAGAAGAAATCAAATTTCCTTTTATTCATTTCAATAATTTAAGTGATGCATTTGGAATGAATGGGTGCATCGTAGCAGAAAAAAAGTGTGTAGTGGTTGTTGTTTAATTTGTTGGATATTTAATCATTTGACAGTGGGCTCAAATTTTAAATGTCTGGCCCTTCTTTTAGTCTGAAGACTTTCAGACTTGACAACACCTCTTGTATCTCTCTACCTCTTGAGATTACCCTTATTATTGGAGTATTGGTGGTGTGGAACTAATGGGATGGAGCCATAGTGGGCTGACACAGGAAACATGGGAAAACAGATTCCTTGTTTCAGAGACATTAGAAGAATCTGAAATTAAAATCTGTTGAACATAATTTGCAAGAATCTGTTTTGCTCTCTTTGGAGGACTGATGCCCTGTCCACACATTTGTGGATATTTTGCACAAAAAAGGTGCAAGGTTTTTACAGATTCCATCCAAAGTACAAATTTTCAACAACTCTGTTTCTGTGTTTGCATGTGCTGTGTATATCATAGCACTTTGGACTATGCATGTGCTACAAAGGTCTTGGATAAGGTGAAGAAACAGATATTGAATTACTATAAGTTAGGAGTTTTAGAGCTGCTAAAATGGAGATTTTGAACCGAAGACATGGACACATCCACTTGCTGATTGGGTCTTTCCTGTCGGGCTCCTATCACATGACCCCCTTTAGGGAGAAAACAGCCAGCATTAGCCTTGGCTTCCAGTGTAGAGAACAATATAGATACTCCATTACAAGTGTTGCTAACCTTTGTTGTCTTTGCTAGCAGCTGTTGTGCAGTTAAATTCTGTATTTTACAATGATACAATAGCTAAAATGCGTAGGAGACAAGCTGTTATTGAAGCATGCACATGCCCAGTGTAGGTGAGGGGGTCACTTGATTTGCATTTTCAGGCGTGTTAGTATGGACAAGGCTTAAATCTGACACAGAGCCCAAATGCATGTGTGGTCAGAGATAATTTAAGTTTGAAAAACACCATTTTCAAATAAAAACGTAGTAGTATGGAGGTAGCCTAAGCTCACTGACCATGCTCACTGGTACTTGACAAATTGTTGATGTAGACTTTCACCTGTTTTTGTGTTCTCGTCTAGACTGTGAAATTTCATAAAACAAAGGTTGTTTCAAAAACAGGCGAAAATATCTGTAAAAGAAAACCATCTGCAGGAGCGAAGACTAGGCTTAACTGAACGCAGGTTAAACATGAAACCAGCGTTGTTTGGTTAGCATCTGAAGTTTCCCTACACCTTTGTTTTTAGTCTTTCACACACAAACGTCACTACGCACAAGAACACTGCGGGGGTTTCTTTGCCCATACCAAAGTGGATGTGGGCTGCATGTGTACGTGCACAGGTTCACTCAAAGTTGTTCTGTGTGTAAGTGCCAAATTTGAAATATGTATGTCAGCGTCTGAGGTTGCATGAAAAGAAAGTCCCATTACTCCCCCCATGCTAGCACCAGCACGTCTCTTTGTTTACTGGATGGGGCTTTGATAAGGGATGAGGAGGTGTGAGGTGTGAAGGCAGGTGAAGGTGGTTGGAGGAGAAAGTGCAGTGAGAAGCAGAGAGTTGCATCGTACCAATCAAGCTGTCTTAACAAATAAAAATGAGAGATTTGGCGTGCGCTGCTTCCAAACAATGACATTGTTGTGCTTGTGTATAAAACAATGAGCTATGAGTTTATTTGGAAAGTGACAGAAACACAACATATCCCCAAAAAATAAGAGAGCTTGATGGGTGTGGCACAGCAAGCTGAAAGAGTGTGTCTGTGTATTTTGGGGGAAAGCATATGCACCAGAAAAACAAGCTCAACATCAAGTGTCCCTTAATTCACTGGGGCTGACAGCATTAAACAGCCGCCCATAACCAAGATGGGAGTGTTCGTCTTGCAAAAAATATATAAAGAAGCAGAGAGAGAGGAAGATGAAGGAGGAAACTGACTCAGAGGAGAAGAGCAAGAGACAGACTGAGTGGAAGTAGAATTACTGTCTTGTGGTTACTTCGCCAACTAGTCAAGTTCCAGTATGAACAAAATCTCCCCTTCTGTTCACGAGTTATGGTGCAAAATAACAGCCAGGAAAGTGTCTTTGCAGAACGTTATATTTTCACATTGAAGAGCTACTTTGACCTTTATGATAGGAAAGGCCAGCACTAGCTGTGATAGACAAACTGCTGTTTACAAGGTTTGCACGTCCTTTTGTTCAGTTCAATTAACAAAATGAAGCCACAACAACAAATTCTTAGTCATAGTAACATTTAGTTTGGAGCTGATATGGGTTAAAAAGTTCAATAAACTTGAAATAACTTTGATCCAGCAGTCTCCATTAGATTAGCCAAATTCAAAGGTATAAAAATGTTTTTTATTAATATCAGATATCATATCAAAGGAAGTATGCCTGATGCATTTGTTTGTCATTAAGAAACAGCCTTGAAGTGCAGAGCTGTTGTGCCATCAAGCTTTCTTGCAAAGAAGTAAAGGTTTTATATTACATTGGACATATGTTCCTGAGGACCAGTAAAGATGTCAGATGTATGTCCTTCCTCATAAAACATCTACAGACCCATTTTCTATCAATACATAACATGAAAACTAGTTTCTCTCCCTTTACCTTAATTACTCTTTGTTAGCAAATTGTTACGCTTTTGATACCATGTTACGGCCGCTAACAGGCGATCTGTTGACTGTCCAGTGGTGAGACAACTGCTCTATAGTACTGTTAGTGGTCAAAATCTCGATGTTACGTTCTCATACATCCAAAGACAAAGGAGATGACGATAATTAAAATTCAGTGTCTGAATTTGCATTTAATCCACATTGGTTTATAACGAATAAATATCAACTTCAAAATGGATTTCCACATCTGTAGTGGTGTAGCCAGACTTTGACAGCAAGTAAGGTGTGTCAGTTCAGCTGCTTTCTTCTTCATTAGCACGGCATGCCTCAATTTCTGCTTTCCACACATGTCACACTTTCAGAGAATTTAGAGAATTACCGTTAAAGAGTTGAGTGAATGTGAAAGTTTTTCTTCATCATCAATGATCATTTGTTTGAGGAACGATTAGGCAGGAACTTATTATGACAGAAAACTTGCCAGATGGTTATTTGTTAAAATAGTTGTTTTTACTAAATGTTCTTTACTTAAGCTTCTCTACAACATAAAGATGTATTGCTCATCTGTTTCATAGCTTTCTAAATTGACTTTGTAATATAAATGTGTGTTGTTCACAAACCAATGTTGACTCTTTGTCTCTGTGCGTGTTTGTGTGTAAGATTTTCGAGAGGATCCTGTTTATTTGGGCGATCCGGCACCCCGCCAGTGGCTATGTGCAAGGTATCAACGACCTAGTCACGCCGTTCTTCGTGGTCTACGTCTTCGAGTACATCGGTGAGTGCCATCTCTCTTTTTCGCTTTCTCTCACTCCCCCTCTCTTTCTCTTTCCTAGTCTTTTGTGTGATCTGATGTTGAAGTCATTGAAAATACTACGGTTCTCAGTGCAGGGTGACACCTTTGTGGCTGGCTAGACTGAAGATTTACTTACTGGTTTACCACTGCAGGTCACAGGTCACAGGGAATCAACCCTTGGACTCTTGAGACAGTATCTTTATTCACAACTTTTTGGCACATAAACTCCTGCTCCTGTTTTTAACTCTTTTCTTCCATCGACATTATCTGTTCCTCTTTCATTTAAATGAACACTACATATTTTGTTGTGTGTCATCCCCCATTATCTGTCCCCATTCACACTTGTTGTCCTATCAATAGTATGAAACTGCCCATATTGAAATTTGCTCATTCATTCTATGGCCGGCGGAAAGTATCAACATTTGTAATTTTCCAACCACATTGAAGGCATGATCATCTATACACGAATGCCAACTCTGTGGCCTCGCCACAGGAAGTGGATGTTAAATTTGCCTCCTCGCTCGCTCGCACAGATTGGGAGTGAACTGTCGGCAAAGTTTCACCACTGCTACATTCATGTTATGTGTGACTGTGCCCAAAGAACTAATGTAATTGACCAATGGGGTTCTCTGAAGAAATCCTGCCTCAGAACAAAAGAGAATTTGTGTCTCGTAGCGGCAGATTCAAGGTGTTGTAGTTGTTGACTTGTTTTTGCCAGAAAAAATATCCAAGATAATCTTCTGCAGGTATGCAACCCTCATTGTATGAGTTGACATACTGATTTGTGGATGTGCACGTTTTAACAATATCTTCACATTTTGAGAGAGAGAGAGAGAGAGAGAGATAGTTAGTACCACCACAGACTATAGTACACCCTCCAAGATTCAATCAACACCTCAATATAAGGGTTTCAACCAAACTGCAACATTATACCCTTCATGAGAGTTGTGTTTATCTCTGCTGTGATCATTAGACAATATTAGATTCTCGAAACATTTCCACAGTACAACTTCAATCAGAATTGATTTTGGAATAATTAAGAGTTGGAATGACTACTTAATGTCATAGTATGTTGTTAACATTTGTATTATTTTGAATTATGTAGCAGTATGTATTTTGTTTTGGTTACACAAAGACATCAGATGACAGTGTGTTTAGCTCTGCAAAATGATGTGTAACGGTTTTCTTAACCTTTAGTTGTGATTCATTTGCTAAATCAAAAATACAAACAGCAGATTGCATAGATAAATTGCTTGTTGTGTGAAATGTATTATTAGGATGATAAATCATCATGAAAGTGTTTACATGTCTCCCAACCCTTGTGACAAGTTGTGTGATACAGGGATATATAAAGCAGTGACTCTTTTTTTCATTTATCCTCTTGTCTTTCACCTCTCATTGTTACATATCTCCTGTGTCTTGTTTCATTTGCCATTTCTCTCAGCCCTCTTACTTCCGACTCCTTTCTTTATCCATGCCTACCTCTGTCTGCATTTGTTTTTCCTCTCTTTTTGCCTTTCTCTGTGGGTGAGTCGGGCTTAGTGTCAGATCATCAAAGCATCGCCCCGCGCTTTGTTCCCCTGCATCTCCATGTGCTGATGAGCCTTGAACAACATACGCAGCCAACAAACCTTCAAACGTGCCTGGCTTGCGTCTTACATGATGGGCTGATGAGCCGCGTTGTTGTTGTTGTTGTTGTCTCTTGTTTTCTGGTACGAAGTGATCTTTGGTTCTTTCATGAGGTGGGCCTAATTCTGCTCCTTTGTGGAGGGGTAGAAAGTAGAGATATACCATCTCATGCTTTTGTGCTCTTTTGCTCTTACTAGCTGTCTTTTGTTTTTGGATTCTGTTTTTCTTTTTTCATTTAAGGTGCATCCCATCCTTTCCGCTCTCTTCCTCTCTCCTTTGTGAGCTCAGGAGCGCCCCACATCTTGTCCTAATATCGACAATGTTAAATCTAATATAAACCAACCTTTTTAATCTTGCATGTAATTCAGCCTGATTCTGTCTTATGATTCTGCTAATGTCTTATCTCAATGGCTTTTATCGTTTGTTTAATTTCCCACTTGCACTGTTTTTACTTTCTTTTATCCAGACATGAGTTGTTATTCTTTTGCCATGATTGTCAAACACTTTCTTGTCTTGTGTCAACTTCTATTGTTTATAATGGGTCATATAAATACAAGAAATATGACTTCGCAAGACATGCTGAAAACAGGAAGTTTAATCTCTTCAAATCTGAATTTATTTTTTGAATGACGATGATAGTAAGCTCAGTTTGGAATCTGTTTTCATAAATTCAGAATAAATGATTCCAGAGGGCGGTCAGTGTTATCAGGTGAGGTGGATCACTCACCAGCATGGATCTTATTTTCGTTTAATAGTGGTATTTCATTGTCCAGATTTGACTGGTAAAGTCATATTTACATTATAGAAGCACACAAATGCCTCAATATTTATTGCCACTTTCTTTATTGTTCACCAGGTAGCACAGTTCTCTAAGGGCATTTACTTCATCCACTGACACCTCTGCCTGCTCTGCAAGCACATGCTACTTAGTTTTCCTTTTCACTCACACTAATGCAGGTGTTCAGATTTCATTTTCTAACCCTTGACCCAAATGCCTGCTTGTTAGGTCAGAGTGGTTTAAAGCCCTGTGTGAGTTTTTGAGTGACAGCTGGTATCTAAGGCTCTGAGCTGGGGAATCTGATTAAGACTTTGACCTGTTTTGCAGCTGTTTAATTCTCAACAAAGTCTTTTCAGTCACTTTACTCTCTCGCTCTGATTTGCTGTCTTTTTCCGAGTCACATGCTGGCCATGTCGTGGCACTGCGGTGCTTGTTCATCGTCCATACTCTCTTTCTACCTTTTGATCATGCAGTGTGGAATGATGGCTCAACCTCTTAACCACTCCATCTTCGCAACTGCCAGATTCCATTAATACCTGCCTGTTAATCCAAATTGAAAAACTCCATTTGGTGGATTATTGATAAACTTGTCTGGTGCCTTGGAGGCAGAAATACCTCTAAAGTTGTGAATCCACTTGGACTGTTAAGAAATCTAGCAGGCCTCCCTCTTGTCAAAGGAGAAATTGATTCAGAGAGTCAAATGGTTTTTTTGGGGGGGGGGGGGTTCTGGTCTGTCTTCTTCCTATCTTACATAGCGTAGAGCCTCTCCCAGTAGCTGACTATAAAAGTCATCTAATTAAGGCCAGGATTGGCCGTGACGGGCCAGAGAGCGGGCCGGTCCTCCTTTTATGTTAGGAACAGCCTTTGATTAGCAAGTGGATCCATAATGTAATCTGCATGCCAATGTCTGAGTATGGATCCACTCTGGGAAAAAAAGATGATGACAAGCAGGCAAGTAAGAGACAGAGAAAGAGAGCAGGCAGTGAATCTGAAAATGCGAAGAGGTAAGGGTTTGACAACCGTGAATAATAAAGAAGCAGAACCAGAATGGAGACAAAGTAGTAGAAAATAACAGCAGCCAGAGGATCTCTTGGCCGGCTTAAGAGTAAAAAAGAGTGAGGGTATAGCGAATGACAAACAAGTGACAAACAACAGAGCAAACAAACAAGATTTAAAAAAAAAAAAAGGGGAGGGGGCGAAATGACCGACTTAAAAAGTGCCCCTGTGCTTTCAGGAAGCAGCAGAGCTAGGCAGCTCCTTCTCCCATCAACTAGGAAAGAATGGCCTGCTCCACCCTTTCACCATCCTCCAGTTTAAAGCTGAACTTGTCACAACAGGCAGAAAGTGGCTAGCAACAGCTTCTCTGTTGCTAAGATTTCACCAGGAATTCAGCAGTTAGATCTGTACTGAGATGGTTGTGACCACTGTGTGAACCCAGTAATTCTAATATATAGAAATGATTAATCTGATTAAAAACCCAACTATGAGCTTCACATATTTGATGGTTCTAAATTTTGTTTTCAGCTTTTCCACAGTTAAGTTTCTTTTTTGTAAGTGACAAAATATGTCAGAATCAGGGCTGGGCGATATGGCAAACAATTTTCTTACTATAAAATTTAAAAAAATCAGTCTATTTGAATAATTATCACGATAAATGTCAATTCACAATTTATTTTTCAAATTTAAAGGCTCATTTTTTTCTATCAAAGTTAAAGAAATCGGTTAATACTGGTATCAAAATTATCTTTATACGGAGAACATGACAAACATGGAAAAATCTGATGTGAGACGTTCAAAACAGTTCTGAAAAAACCTTGCGTAATCCATAACCTTACTTTTCCAATGACATAGTGACTGCGATGGGATTGGCAGTTTGTGATTAATTTATGTGTTCACTATCTAAGAATGAAAATAAATCATACTGAACATTTATAAATCATTAGTGACATGTCTGTGGAGGAAAATCGTATCGTAGTAATTGCTGTTATTATTGCTGTTATTATTGTGTTATTCTTTTGACGCTCAGCCTTATTCTAAATGTAAATTAAAGAGAAGCTACTTCAAATTAAGAGCCCTAAAGCTGCTTTAATCAATATTTGTATTTAAACAATGGAGTAACTACTGTGTGTCACGTGAAATATGTCACATTTAGTGATGACCCAACATAGAAATATCACCATATTTGCAGTTTGCCTCAGCAGTGTAGAGCTTTTAGCATCTTTCAGCTTATTAGCTGGTTTTTGGGGACTCAATTTCTTCATTATCACTGCTCTTGTAGGCCATGTTTCTTGTGCAGCAGACAGCTCTTTTCATTAAAAACACTTCAATTACCGATTGACAGATAAAGGTTTGCAACAGGCTGGTGAATATTGCTAAGCATCCACTAAAGAACCAGATTTTTTCCTTTTGAGTTATTATAATATAAAACAAGACAAATGCTTATTATGAATGTTAGTCCTCAACGAGTGGCAAATACATACAACTCTTAAATGATTTTAAAGCAGCTCTGGCATTGTGTAGTGTTGAAAACACATCCAACGACCTACAGCATATAAGGGTCACAGTTAATTAATTG